TACACACAATATATATATATATATATATATATATATATATATATATATATATATATATATATATACTTATATATATATATATTTTATATTTATTTAAGCATTATGGTCTTCACTAGGCTCCAGGGTCTCTTGACTAAAAATCGCGTTATCGCGTTAAAATCGCACTTGTGAAAATTGCACGCGACTTCAAATATTTTACAAAATTGAGATGCGATATGTCGCATTTATTGCGATTCTTAAAAAGATCGGGATACGCAATTTCATAAATTGCGCATCCCTAACCGTCGTCATCGTTTCTTGTAACTCGTTCGTAACAATTTCTTGCAGCGCGAGCGGATTACCGCACAATAAGATCGATTTTAGCCGGCCAAAAATGTAAAAAATAAAATTTTAAATTTGTATTAAACATATGTTTTTCTTGTCTCCTGAGAAACAAATACACACAAAAATAAAAGTTATAATGAAATATGCCATTTAAAAAAAATAAATTGTTTAAAATAAAATATTCATAATCAAACTCAACTTATAACATAATTCGCTTAAACAATTGAAATCAGTAACCCAAATATATAACGATTATTCAAAGTTATAGTTGAAACAATCAATGAAACATTTTTTCGCATGATGTATCAAATAATGAGCCTCCGAAACACCGCTCACATCATTATTAAGTTAATCCAGATTACTTTATTTTTTAAAATTCTTCAACTACTTTATAAAAAGCAAAAGAGATTATACAAGGTGAATAAAAAGTCTTGGACCGGTGAAATATCTCGAAAACTAGGCATTTTCGAAAGAAATGTTTTCTACAAAAATTGTAGGGTTTTAAATGATTTATTCATTGATCTGGTTAATTTGACTTTGAGTGACATCTTCAAGATCAGAATAAGGTAAACTTTGTTTTTTTAAATAGAAATATTTATTTTTTATTACGGACTTTTTTTCTGCAATTTTTTTTTAAAGAAACAAACTTTTATTTAAAAAATCTTTTCATACGACCTCTATTTTCTAAGATATTTACGGAAATATCTTAGAAAATAGAGGTTATATGAAAAAATTTTTAAACAAAAGTTATTTGTTTTTTTACGTAAAATTAAAATTTGTAACAAAAAAATTAATATTTCTATTAAAAAAAAAGCAAAGTTGACCTTGTCCTGACCTTAGGGACGCCCAATGTCAGACTGACCAAATAAGTAAACAGATTATTTAAAGTCCTACAACTTTTGTAGAAAACATTTCTTTCGAAAATGCTTAGTTTTCGAGATATTTCACCGGTCCGGGACTTTTTACTTACCCTGTATATCATGTTATAGAAAAAAAAACAACTATCGACTTCCACGGTGAGGTTTCTCCTAGAAAACCTCTAGTACAGAGAATCGCCAATTTGGTCATGTGACCAGCTATTCTGCGATTGGCTGGCATAAAATGTACGGATTTGGACATTGCGACACTAATGCAGAACAGATGATTACATGTGTAAGGTTAGCGACCGTTCATCATATTAATAAGTACGTTTTGATAATGATATTTATTATGAAATTTAAGTGAAGTATTTCTTAAGAGAAGTTATAAATATAATGTGATTGTAAGAAATATAAATTTAGGCATTAAAGCTATATGTTTATTAGTTTATAGATAATTATTTCGTGACCCAAATTTTTAATTGGGTAATTTATTGTACTTGTATTACAGATACCATTATCGTACGCTATGCCATCGAATTGCACAGCATACAACTGTTGCAACAGGAGTGATGAATGTTATGCATTATTCAGATATTCGCAAGATGAGACCATGATATCCCTTCAATATCTTGTGCTATTAAAGGAATATAAATAATCACAATCTGTTTCAATAATAATAGGTTTTTAATACAAATTTGTTATAATCACAAGATCACTGTGCTCTATTTTGCAATATTTTTTGAAGAAGGAAAACAACTGTCCTTAACATAGCATTTTCTTTACAAACACTTTTTCAATAAACTCCTCTTGTTGGACAGCTACTATATCATTTTTTCTCAATTGTGGTTGCATAACAACACAACAATTATTGTGTTTTCTAATAGAAACTTGCTGTTTGTAAAGACTATTCCTATATTCTGCTTTTTTCTCAACTTTCTTTGAGGATTCTTTCGATCTCCTGAAGACCAGCTACAGAAACGAGAGGGAACTAAACTAAGCTTAACTCGCTTGCGTCTAGGAAAAAATTCGATTTCTGCTGGCTTAAAGTGTACCTATGGGTATAAAATAATAAACATATTAAAAATCTAACAATATATTACACACGTTCATCTCCTGAAGTATAAAGTAAAAACATATTGCAAAATGCTACTAACCTCGCAAAGTTTTTGTGAACTACTAGGGAATCAGTTTTTGCCTCTTTCAACGATAGCAATCCATTTTCTCTTCATAATCTCATCTTGCGGATATCTGAATAATGCGTAACCTTCATCACTTCTGTTGCAACAGTTGTATGCTGTGCAATTCGATGGCATAGCGTACGATAGTATCTGTAATATAAGTACAATAAATTATCTGATTAAAAATTTGCGTCACGAAATAATTATCTATAAACTAATAAACATATAGTTTTAACGCCTAAATTTATATTTCTTACAATCACATTATATTTATAACTTCTCTTAAGAAATGTTTCACTTAAATTTCGTAATAAATATCAATATCAAAACGTACTTATTAATATAATGAACGGTCGCTAACCTTACACATGTAATCATCTGTTCTGCATTAGTGTCGCAATGTCCAAATCCGTACATTTTATGCCAGCCAATCACAGAATAGCTAGTCACATGATCAAGTTGGCGATTCTCTGTACTAGAGGTTCTCTAGTTTCTCCTGTATAAAGTATAAACTCATAAGAACTAATATACATACTAATATACTAATAAAAGCGATTCCTAGCGATTCTCAATATACAACATATTATGTGAATAGCCGTGGCTGTTCTAGCGATACATATAGGAACACATAATTTGTTGCGTATTGAGAATCGCTAGGAATCATTTCTATTTGTACACAGAGAGAACGATTTGGTCGAATCAAATAAACACTTCTTTAGAATAGTCCAAACGAATTTTTCGATTGATCAAACAAAAATTGTTGTTTGAAGCAACAAAAATATTTATTTGCGGCTTAGTTTCAAAGAAATATTTTTGTTGTCAACCAAATAATTCGTTTGGACTATTCCAAAGAAACATTTATTTGAATTAATAAATCGTTCTCTCTGTGTATATTAGTTCTTATGGATTCCGCTTCTTCTCCTTTTGTATATTAGTTCTTACGGGTTTACACTCTATGCAGGAGCAACCTCACCGTGGAAGTCGATGGTTGTTTTTTTTCTATAACATGGCATATAATCTGTTTTACTTTTCATAAAGTGGTTGCAGAATTAAAAAAAATAAAATAATCTGAATTGACTTAATAATGTCGTAAGCGGCGTTTCGGAGGCTCATTATTTGATACATTATGAGAAGAAATCATTGATCGTTTCAACTATAACTTTGAATAATAGCTATATATTTGGATTACTGATTTCAATTCCTTAAGCAAATTATCTTATAAGTTAAGTTTGATCGTGAATATATTTCTTAAACAATGACGTATTTTATTATAGCTTTCATTTTCGTGTTTGTTTCTTAGGTTCCAATAAAAATATATGTTTAATAAAAATCTTAAATTTTATTTTTGCATTTTTGACCGGCTAAAATCAATTTGATCCTATTGAGCGGTCTTTCGCCGGTCTGACACAACCGGAACCTCCTCCACTTTTCTGCTAGGAGCGTGGAAACGCCGAGAATGGCGCGGCGTAGAGTCCGGAGTGGCGAGTAGGTGCAGCACGGATGACATTGACTATCCCGTTGCCCCGTCGTCGTTCACGTTATGGCACAGTGAAAGTTGACGGAGCGCATCTTCAAGGTCATCGGCGGTGCGAAGCGAGCGGACCGCGCTCTCGCGATGTACGACGTTTTCGGAAATTCGGTGACCGTCTCGTTGACGAGGGGAAACGGAATCGCGCGGGGTGGAGGCGGCAACTGGCGACCTTTCCCTCTCGTTCGCGAAAACGCGCGCGAGCGCAGCGAGTAGCCGCGCGAATGCGGCAGCGCGCGGTGATAAAAATGACGCGCGAAAAGAGAGACGAGACGGCGCCTTAATTGCCGGGAACGTTAATTGCTCCATTGTGCATTTCAATTGCCGATCGACGCGCGGCGGGTTCAACTGGTCTCGCGCTCACGCGCGCGCGCGAAACAACACCGATAATAATTTAATAAGGCGTTTAGCGCGCGCTTGATGACTACTACTGTGCGATTGGCGTGCCGTAAGGTGTCGTCGTTTAAACTAACCAATGATATATCTCGACAGGAGAATTAGCTTCAATCTGATATCCGCGACTCGTCGTGCCTTTGTGCTTTTTAGCGAATGCATCCGCCAACTCAGTCATGCCGACGAGATAAAGTTCCAAGCTGCTAATCAATAATGAAATGTTTTATTCACTCTCTCTCTCTCTCTCTCTCTCTCTCTCTCTCTCTCTCTCTCTC